TAATGATCTGGCAGAGATAAGCGACAGCGAATGGAGTTCACCTTGCCTCCTCGTTAAGAAGAGCGAGGATACATACAGATTTTGTACAGACTATAGGAAGGTGAATATGGTTACGGTTGCTAGTTCGCACCCAATACCGTGCATTGATGACTGTATCGAACGGATGGGAAGAGCACGGTACTTGTCGAAGATAGACCTGTTGAAAGGGTACTACCAAGCAGGTACTACTTCATCGCCTGCAAGGCTTCATCGAAGGCCAGACGCTGGACCATCATCAGGTCACCACGCGAGAGTACAACGGATACATGATAGAAAATCCGTATATCAACATGAACGTTTAGTGGAAAAGTTTATAAATGCAGGTTAAGAGAAAAAGACTCTATTATTAACAGTGTCAAACGAATATTTCTAATAGGTTGAAAAAATTTTGTAACATTTATGAGGTTGTAAAGCTACTAGGCCTACTAAAAGTGGTCCTAGACAATGATCATAGCTAGATGACTTGGGTCTCTAGCACAAACTTTATCTAGAATTTTATTATTATTTTGTTTCATGTATGTTTATGTGTAATAAATCTGCCCTGGTGAAGAGTGTCCAGGATCTCTATTTTGTACCATTGTATGGGTACATATATTTAATATTTGTATACCTTTATGTGTCAATAAATATAGTAATTTTAAGCCATTTTCATTTTGTGATAAGGAGTATTCTTACTATCAGTAAGTGCAGGGTGTATAGAGATTGACCTCAGCATTGTAGATTGGTTCACAAGTATCTTATAAACTTATTTTAGTTGAAGTATTTTCATGTCAATTATTTTGATATTTCTACCATGTTTTATAACTGTATAACTTATAGGTTGGCTGTGGGTCATGCAGTACTCAGCAGATGATTGGGTATGTCCTACTTAGGTATAATATTAAACCTTATAATATTTTTAGTTACTTATATTTTCCTGTTACAGTAGGAATATTATTATTTTGTTCATGTCAGAATAGTTTTAAGACATTTTTTCTTTTGATTCTTCCAGTCTTCTGGGGAAAACTTGCTGGGCTGCCTAGTGTGCAGTCGGGATATGTAATTTTTCATAGTGTACTTTGTTATCATGTAATGTTTCCTCAGGGTTGTATCATTTATGCTTGCAACTTTACTTGTATTTTGGAATTATGTTTTTTAGTTACTTGTATTATAATATTTGAGTAGGAATATGATATTTTGTTTATATCATGTTAGCTGTAAGCCATTTTTTGTTCTTGCAGCCTTCTGAGGAAAACTTTCTGGACTGCCTACTGTGCAGTCGGGATATGTCATTTTTACAAATAGTATTATTTGTACCTTACCATGAGGTTCCCATGGCAAGTCATGGGCATACTTTCTCTGAGCATTACATCCCCACACTCCGTACCCTTCCCTCTCAAACTGCTTGACTCTACATGCCCTTACTTCGCCTACTTCCTGCAACTTCCTCTGTCCTCTTCCCTCCTCTGCTCTCTAGGGTAGAGAAGTGGAGAGGAAGGAGGAAGGGAAGAAAGTGAAGTTTCACTTTCTAGTGTGTGTGGTTTGGTCAACATACTTCAGCCACGTTATTGTGACTCATCGCCTGCATAAGGGAAGAAAGATGGGGAAGGGCTGTGGAGTCGCGGAAAGGAGAGTGGAAAGGTGGGGAGTAGAGATGGAGAGAGTAAGATTGGTGGGGAAAGAATGGGAGAGAGGGAAACGATAAAGCCACGACTAATTTATAAATAGTATTAACAAATAATATTTCAATTACTTGTAACATCAATAATAACATTTATTAACATCTATCGTTATAAATAACTTATATTTGATTAGATAAATCGCATTCAAGGACAGTTGTGTATATATATAATTATCTTTGACTTACGGTCATTAGTTATACTTTCAAATTGTTCTCGCCTTGTTTTCTATACACAATACATTAATCAGCTAATACTAATCCAAATGATCATGATAATCATATTGCATTACAATCTTTTTCATAAGAGTTTCTTCACCAGTAGCACACGTGTAACACTCTGTATCACTAACATATCCCGAGAAAATAATTTTCTGATAAGATTTTTCATTCAAAGTCCTCGAGTGGCGTTTGCCTGACCAATCAGCCTTCCAAGTCTCTTTCAATCTAATATTCTGTTATTGTCAATCTTTTATGTAATTAAATGTTATAAGTTTTTATGTAAGTTTTCCCATTTATAAGTGAATTTTTTTTTTAAATTTTGCCCCGAGGAGCGAGTTTATTGGGCAGCGCCACTCATTTTGTGAGTGGACATACCACCATAGCAGCATGTATAACATTCCCCAATATGAAGAAAACCCGCTGGGTTGTTCATCCTGTCACTTGTACCCAGACACAGCTGGGACTTGCTTAACTGTCTCAAGTGAACAGCTCCTCAAACAAGAAGATTAACATCTATCAACCCTTAAAAGCTTACGTTATCTTGCAGGTGCAAAATGGGGGAATCCTTTAAGAACAGTATCAATATTTGACAAATAGTGTTTTCCTAACTTAAACAATGTGGGGTTTATTATTCTACACATAGTTCTGATTTCTCTCAGGTGTTCACATTCACGTAGATAGTGTTCAAGGTGATGTCCATCACTCTCACCACAGATTCTACAACTTCGCTTATCAACTGTTGTTTCCATTCCATATCTCCATGGATATTTGTATCCAAGACGGATTCTCGCTATTACTGATTCTCTCCCTCGTCCTCCTCCTCTTCGGCCATAATGACTGGGATTGCCAGCTGCAACCATGTTGTACCATCATACAGATTCACTGGTTTGTGCTTCTATCCTCCTTTCCTCAGTTACCTTGTCACGGTGATGTGCTGGCTGGTAATGATGTGCTGGCTGCCTTCAGCAGCCAGCACATCTGCTCGTTCATTCCCATATATTCCAACATGGGAGGGGATCCACAGAAACTTGATGACTCTTCCCTGATTGGTAAGTACTCTCATAGTTCTCTTAATTTCACCCACTGCCTCTCTACACTACCTCCAAAAGCTACAAAATGGTTATATAAGATAGATATTGTGTAAACGTCAAGACACTGATAATATTTCTTGGCAACACTCCGCCACCGGGAGGCCAGAAATGACACCATCGCTGTGGAAGTCACACCACCGTCACCAGAGAAGTCACACGACGCCACAGAGAAGTCACACGACGCCACAGAGAAGTCACACGACGCCACAGACAAGAGAGCTAAAACCCTGAACTATAATCTGGGAGGAGTTACCTGGAGTATCAGAGCGGTCACTCTGGTACAATTCTATCTCTAGATCAACGGAATTCGTGCTACCCAATTAGAATTAAGTTGATGCCATGTTGTTGGTCAATAGCAAATATTTATTTAGTTTCGAGGGTTGGGCAGTTATGAGCTGGTAATGAGTTATGTTGTTCATTCTCTAACTACCCAGATTATACACATACCAATTATTTTAGGTAATGTGCGCTTGAATTGCACTTTTTTTCCTGATATTAAAATAAGAACTTTGTCTACAGAACACATGGGGGTGGAGGCTGGGAAGGAACGTAGAACCTAAAATTGCATTGGAAGAACCATCTTCAAATCAAAGTACTCGGATAAAGAAGATATCAGTGGTCAAGTGTAAGATGTTGTGGCGTATGAGACCCACCTCCACTGCCCAAAATGCAGGTCAATAACCCATACAACATTTAAATGGTTGGTTATATTATTTGTTGTTTAAAGCGTTGTAAGTAACACTCCGTGCACTGCTGGTCTTCCTCCACAGATCTCCAGTATCAGCTCTTGATACTGGTAATGGCTCAAAAGGGCCACCAATTACGGGCTATTCATGCCCGTGCTACCTTTTGGGTGGCTTAATCTTCATCAATCATCAATCTGCTGGTCTTCTCTGCATCTCTGTTCTTTTCGCTTCTCTTTTTCGTTGCAAACGATCTTTGGTGATATTTGGCAGCTATCTTAAGTTGGGTTATCTTGCGTCGCTGTAGATTCTAGGGTTTTCTGAAGTGTGGGTGTGACTGTTATTGTCAACACACCTCAGCCAGTTCAGTGTAACAGATTACATGTTTGATCCATGCAAGTGTGGATCAAACATTTCCGAGAGTTACCATTTTTTGTAATGCGCGTCATAGTATTTTGGGATTTTTTACTTTAGTGGACATTTGTCAGCAATTGGCTGTAGATCTTGACTGGAATTTGGTGAAAATTTCTTCCAAGGTTCCCTTAGTCATTTTAAGTATTGTTTTTATTGTTCATTACGTGGTGCTCAACATCTGGGTTGTAGATGACTCCTTTTAACGTGATTTAGTAACTTGTTTTTGCAGAAGCCTGAGTAGCGACTTCATGCAGAGTTCCTGCACCGTTGAATTTGTGACCAACTCCTCGAGGTTTTATTGTAACCCACATAAGAGAGGATAGTACAGAGAGGCCTTTCAAGGATGGCCAGTTTCTGTGTCATCGGTGCTAGTCCTAGCTCTATTCTGCTAGTAAAAAAGTCATTGCCTTTCCAAACAATGACAACCCGTGCTTGAGCACCTCCTAGGAAGATTCTCATGAATATAAACAACATTCCCGGATGGAAGATTTTTTTTATGTTTTGCATATCGACTTTAGTGATAGTAATATATACAGTAAAGGTACGATATTCAACACAGTTTGTCAGTGGTTTACTGAAGAACAGAGGCGAGGTCAAAGAGCAAGTCGTTGATGGATGCTAAAGAGGTGAAGTAGATTTAATTTGCTTCACTTGGAGAAAAGGCCGAATTCATATTTTATTCCAATTTGGGATGGGAATGATGGCTGCTTTCGTCCAGTAAGCACGTACTCCACCTGCTTTATAGAACAAAATACAATATCAATTTTTGTTTAATGAATGGTGTAATACTAACATTCCCTGGCACTGTTATCACTTAATCAGTACCAGAGATTTTATTATCTATTTTTAAGATTTTAAGAAGGGGGGTATATAACTGGTTATCATCTTAGTGCCCACCTCTTTTTGTCAATCAGAGCCTGGCAGCGTAGACGTTCCAAACAGTCGGAAGATTTCTTGGGAAAGTTTTAAGCAGTCGGGTGTTCTCGAGGACGTTTTAAACAGTTAGAAACTCTTTCGAGGAAGTTTTAAAGCAAAAGAGTGTCGCCTTCCAACCTAAGGAACACAGTCAGTGAGAAGGAAGACATTATTCGTTTTAGTGATTCTGAGTCGCAGATTATTTTTCTGCTCGGCTCTCGTCATATCTCTCTGCCCTTTTATCAGCTTCTACTTGTGTTACTGTTTCCCTGTCTTTATATTTATCCCCGTCAAGGGGTCTGTCTCTTTCAGCTGTTCATTTTGATGGATAATCAGCATGAATTTTGCGATGAAAGATCTAGGCAGAAATATTTATTAGAATTCTTTGTACAAAGTTCCCCCCTTTCAAGGTTTAATGAGATATGTCCCGAGCTTCTGGACTCCAACCTTTGACAGATAAACAAACCAACGTATCGTTTTATTGGGAGAGACAATATAATTACAAAGGTGTTTCCCAGACTTTGCAACAGAGGAGCTAGGAGACCGCACCAAGAACTATACCGAAGTGTCCACGCATTTAGGTGGTGTGCTTAAGGGAATCCGAGCGAAGCCTCGCCAGAACAACCCTGTTTCCTATGGTACCAGATTAACGTCTAATTACTTCTCCTCTCACCAGACATGGCGTTGGAGTGGATGGAGGGGACGCTGGGGTGGGGAAGCATTGTCCTCTTTGTCCTCCTCCTGCTTTACTTCGCTCCAGGAAGACGTCCTCATAATTTTCCTCCAGGTAAGCAACGCAGAAAGGTGTAAGGATAGATAGAAGCATTGACACTAAGAAAGATAACAGAATAAAGCCAAATAGACAAATAAATGAAAGATCACAGTACATAGAGGCAGACACATACATACATACACACCGGAGGGCACCGGTGGCCGTGTGGATAGCACGCTGGACATGTGATCCTGTGGCCCGGGTTCGATCCCGGGCCACAATGCGAGAAAGCGAGAAACAATGGGCAGAGTTTCTTTCACCCTATGACCCTGTTACCTGGCAGTAAATAGATACCTGGGAGTTAGTCAGCTACGAATAAGTAGGTGAGAGTTTGACAGCTGCTGCTGGCAGTGTGTGCGCGTTTGTCACTCACATGGATATATGTAGTAGACATGATAGAGAAAATTAGGTCGGGAGTCGGTAGATTAGACAACCAGTTGTTAAAAAGGCGAGGGTCCAAGAGCTTGATCCTATAGACACGAAAAGTCAATATATTTGCAGGCGATGAGTCACAATAACGTGGCTGAAGTATGTTGACCAATCCACACACTAGAAAATGACGGGACGACGACGTTTCGGTCCGTCCTGGACTTGAACCGACTTGAGAATGGTCCAGGACGGACCGAAACGTCGTCGTCCCTTCATTTTCACAGTGTGTGGATTGGTCATCAATACATTTAAGAACCTCTTTCTTCTCTCTCCAGGTTTGCCGATGTTGCCGCTGGTGGGTTCGCTGATTCACATGCGCGGGGCGCCCACTAGAACCAAACTACGGAGTCTGCACAAGAAATATGGCAACGTGGCGGGCTTCGGCATGTTCGGCACTGGGTAGGGCGATCGAAGGATACGAACACGTATATATGTGTGTCTAAAGCAGGCTCTACTTACTTTATTTCCGATTCAGTTTAGTGCGCGTTATTCTGAAAGAGTTATGATTCAGAGTCAGTCAAAGACGACTATTATAGAGATGGGTCAAAATGTCGTCGAGGACACGAGACTGTGTGGGGTTATAAATACAATTGTCAGACAGACCCAATAATTTTTGAAAGGACAGGACTATAACTTTAGATAGTTTAAAGCAGTGAACAGCGTGTCCCATGTTAGTCTTTAATATAGGGAAAAGTAGGCTAAGTTAGCCCTCAATGACAGAAAAGTAGTTACAGTCCCGCTCCTGTGCCAGGTAAGTCCACTACGGGCTCACCATCGCCCGTGCTACTTGGAACTTTTTGTCCGGGTAGCTGAATCTGAAAAAAACAGAAAAGAAGTCAAAGTTCGCATTTATTAGCAGTGAAAAGCAGCCCATGCTAGCCCGCAGTAACAGAGAAAGCAGTCCAAGACAGCCTTTTGTAATGCATAAGAGAATTATAAATTATAGTAACGTTTGGGCTTGTTTGAGATTTCCTGATAAACGAAGCTTATACTATCGAGCAGGGATAGGCAGAGCGAGAGAGCGAGAGTGAGTGAAAGGGGGTCGGAGGCCAGCAATATACTGCGAACTAATGAGCGGGACCTACCTTCTCCAGGGTGGTGCTGGTGAGCAGTGTGCCGCTGATCAAGAAGTTCTTCGCCATTAACGAGGTAGCGGGCAGACCGCCGTCAGTCCTCACCACCACCAGGAACCTCCTGCTCAGCGAGGGTGTCACTACCAATTTAGGTGAGCACACACACACACATGAATCTGTATCCCAGATGATTGGTTGATTGATAGTTGAGAGGCGGGACCAAAGAGCCAGAGCTCAACCCCCGCAAGCACAACTAGGCGAATAAAACTAGGTGAGTACGCCCAAAATACAAGACGTTAATATCGTTCTCACATTAATACATCTACATTTGAATATAAACATAAAAATCGTAGCTGTATTTAGAGAAAGTATTTACCCAGTAACTGTACGCTGTTCTGGAAAAGAGGAACAGAATGGCATTATATTTAATATATTACGGAAGTCGTCTTATGTTCACGAGCGTATATACATGTAAATCTGCGCAGTTTGAAAAAAATCTTGGAGCAGGTCGTTGGGATATAGAACAAACGTCCTGCGTAACCCCAGACGCCCGCCTTGAGGAAATACCGAGCTGGTTGTCAATCCAACATTATACATGAAACTGCGTACATTCTGCAGTAGGTAATGGAGTTCTCTAATGGTTACAGTTACAGCCCCGCTCCTGTGCCACGTAAGTCCACTACGGGTTCACCATATCCCGTGCTACTTGGAACATTTTGTTCCAAGTTGCTGAATCTAAAACATCAACAAACATCCAATGGCTCCCAGCTCGATACCTCGATGAAGTGTACTCCTTTTGGTTCCAGGAGGATCCCAGGTTGCGTAATTTTTAGTATATCGTGTTGACCAAATCACACACTAGAAAGTGAAGGGACGACAACGTTTCAGTCCGTCCTGGACCATTCTCAAGTCGATTGTGGTTGGGGTCCAATCCATTGATTGTGACTTCACCATTCTCAGGTCACAATCGAGAGATCACAACGTTCCTAGGATTCATGGAATATCGTAACTGGATTCTTAACAATTATTGTTCTGCAAGTACTGTAGAGCATCTTCGAGCCGTGCATAACGTTCACGGCCTCTCTAGCAAAGGTACTAAGATGGTCCCTTGTTGATCCCAGGGATCCTGGGTGGAGACGGCCCCAGATGGCAGGTGCAGCGGCGGTTCGTCCTCCGTCACCTGAGGGACCTCGGCTTCGGCAAGACCAGCAACGAGGCCTTAATGATGGACGAGGTGACGGAGCTCATAGACTACATCAAGCAGCGGAAGGGGACGCCTATGCCCATGAAGGTGAGTGTTCTCTGTTTGGTTCTTGCTTGCTTAGTCTTGTAAACATATTTTAGACGGTTGATGAGATTTTATGATTATTTTGAATTATGTCAGCCCCCTTAAGCCCACTGTAACATCAGCCTGTTCTCATCTAGTTTACTATACTGAATTCACTTAAAGGTGCTACGTACTTGTTCCTATGAGTTGATAATTACTGTGTAGCGTTCAACTTCCACTCTCCCACTGAGCATCCTTTTACCTCAATAAATGATCTTGATTTACCCTGTGTCTTCACTGACGTGTATCATTCTTTTAGGAACATTTTAAAACGAGGAAGGAGGTATTTTTTGGGTACTTAAAATAGATACCTTTAAGAAAGGGAATTTGACATTATTAGTATTTAGCTGATGCTCCAGAGAGAAATTGACAGAAAAATTAAAGAGTAGCGTAGTGCTTGATTACCCCCCTCTAATTTAATTCAAATGTAAAGTAGACATCCTAAATATAGCTTAACAGGGACAGTTGTTGTCATTGACTTGCACGAATGAGTGCTGACCCCTGCGTATCATATCAGTAGTTATCACCGTGTTTACAAGATCAGGCTCAAGATCTGTCGGCTTTGCCCTGACAATAATTTAGTGACTGATAAGCTTTCCATTAAGCTTAATGAAAGACTATTGCATCTTCCACTGAAGCCAGCAGTAAGTTAACTCTGTGTGAGGTGCAAATTCTCGAGAAGAAACCTTTCGAGGTGATAGAAGGAATGACCACGATAGATCAAGGTGTTATATTACTCCCAACACTTAACCCATTCTTAGTCCCATGACCTCTTACTATTTAATATAACTAGTAGTTAACTCCTAAGGTGATTATCAACCAAATATATTAATTCCCTCTTTTCTCAGTCGACCACTAAATAAATAAACTGGATAAGTGTAACTTTTCAACAATCCACAACACACTCTAACTTGTATTGTGTAAATTTGTGTAAATCAACTGGCACTTGTGCAAACTAAACTTAAATTTTTAAAACAATTTAAAAACATTAATAAGACAATTTAAGTTTGATTTACACTTCGGTACACAGCCGTTCAGTTCACAGGTATAATTGTAAAATTGTATGTACACAGACGAGGAGTCACAATAATGTGGCTGAAATATGATGACCAAACCACACATTAGAAAGTGAAGGGACGACGATGTTTCGGTCCGTCCTGGACCGTCCGTCTCAAGTTAATTGTGGTTGGGGTCCAATCCATTGATTGTGACTTCACCATTCTCAGGTCACAATCGACTTGAGAATGATCCAGACCGGAACGTCGTCGTTCCTTCACTTTCTATTGTGTGGTTTGGTCAACATTGTATGTACATTGTGACGTCGTCTAATGTTGACTCCCTCCCACCGGCTGGGTGCTGCAGCGCCTCTTCAACCGGTCGGTGGTGAACGTGCTGTGGGGGATGGTGATGGGGAAGAGGTACTCCTACGACAACGCTAAGCTCACCAAGGTCATCGACACCTTCATCCAACCGGCTGACATTAACCTCATTCACCCCATCTTCTCAATCCCTGGGATAATGAGGGCAATCATCTACATTCCTGTATTAAAGGAAAAACTAAAACCTATCATAAATCTCATACATTTTATAAAGGTAAGTTGATGTGGAATTAGCAGCATAAACACGTTAATAATAATAAAAATGTTTGCATAAATGGTCATGCACTGGAGCGTTGTACCGCTCTCGTATATTCGACTCTATTAAAGTCGAATCTCATTATTTAATATTATTTTTTGAAGGAGACGATTGAAGTTGTGTACACTTACTGGGCTACGGGCCAGCGCCCATGTTTGAGGTGGGCGGGAACTGATGGGGATTATATACATATACTGTAAATGGAATACACGAGGAAGAAATAAGAAAGCAATTGAAAGCATTTCGAAAATAATCATAAGCGTAAACTCGATATATAAGTCATTTCGTCTGTTTATTAGAACGAGTCATGATTGCCCAGGAGCGAACGACGGGATCAGTCAGTTGAGGTATCAAAGTGTCCTTCTGATGTGATATTAGCTTTGACGACACAAATCTAGCGTAACGTAAGCCCTTCTCAGCACGTAAGACTTGCCAATATTTGTTAAGTTTTGCAATTGTTTATGTGAAACCTTATTCAAATGCTACCATTCATATAGCTAAATTCCGCACCAATACTCGCTTTAAAATTTTAACACCCTTAAAGCCTTTAGCTGTTAATTACAATTTTTTTATGAGGACCAACTGAGAAGTCCTTTAGGGTCCTCTTGCATTAAATTGATTCTCACGACTAACGTGAATCGGGACCCGGTGATGGGTTCACTACATGCACAGTGGACCCTTACTGGACCAAGTGCACTCTGGTCATGAACGCTTGCTCTCGTCGTTGTAAGATTTGAATAGGCATTTATTAAAGTTGTCAGCCATTGCAAAGTGATGTTGCATGCAATTGCAGTCAGAGAAATGGAATATGCCACATTATTTTATTTTTCCAGGATGAACTGCGAGATTTTATGGCCAATGAAGACCTCAGGAAAAACTTCTCCTTGGTGTCTACATATCTCAAAGAAGTTGAGAGCAGAGACAACGACCCAAACTTCGACAGTAAGTACATCAGTTATGCAACTAACACACACAGACATAATTTCTTTATCAAACCCAAACAACAGTACAATGTACATTATTTATAAAGTACACACTATGTAGTGGGGCAGCCCGTCCTCCTAATGTTTCCTAACGTCAAAAAAACGGTAAATTTAAAGTGTCCTTTCCTAACCTACCAGGGGACCCAAAACAGAAAACGGGACAGTACGTCACTTTCTCGAGCCGCTTCCATTTTCTTGTACGACAGTTTGTGACCTTTTGTAACGCATACGAGCGAAATGCGACGTCCTTTGCATGAGGAAAGGTTAGTGTGGAGTTTAGAGAATGGCTACAGACACCAGTGTATCTAGTGGGGGAAGCAACCGCTTCGTCCCCTGAGCCAATTTGTCAAAAATGACGCCCTTTCAACAATTTGTTTAACTCTTTAGTTCACTTGTACTATAAAAGTCAAATCTCATTATTTTTTTATGTTTTTGAATCATATGACATTGGAAGGAATTTCTGGACTAATTACATATTCGACCAACCTCCCAGTGTTTTAAACTGTCTGCTGAATCTCCTGGCATGCATTCTCATTTTGATTTTAAACACAACATAAAAATGCAAAATGAGGTTTTAATGACTGGGTATATGTTATGGTGCTATTTGTTAATCTGCTCGCTCCCTCTTAACTTTACAACCCGAAAACCCGCCACCAGAGGACAGGTTGAGGCTCAGGTGACCAGTGAACTCCCAGAGTCCAGTACACTACACATACACTCGCGGCTTAACCATTTCCTTCATTATTTACAAATAAACGTAAACAAATGGAGACTAGAACCTCCACTTGCGTGATGCGGAATGCTGTATCACTGTACCACCACTCCACAAAGTTAAGTGTTGTACCACTGTACCACCACGCTACAAAGCAGAGTGTAATGCTACTGTTAGCTAGCCACAATCTCTCTCTGGGGGCTAACTTATACCTCTCATGATACCAGAATTACCCACTAGCATTAGGTCCCCACGACGGAATGCTGGTGGGTAATTCTAGTACTCGAGAAGATCTAAAAGAGGAACAGAGTAGCAGATAGCCACATTCCGAGGGTAGAAATAGTCTAAGCTACTCTATCCTTTTAAGATGTATTTTATTGTCTCAATAAACGCACTTGAACTTGAACTGAGCCACATCCTCTCCTTTCTTGTTGTCACTATGGTGCAGCGTTAAGGTGCTTGCCAGACGGATGAAATGTTATTTCTGTATCTTTGTAGTTCGCAATTTCTTTTCAAATGCGACTGAACAAAAATAATTAACCCTCCAAAAATATAGAGACAATTTTCACTGACGTCGCCTTGGTTATGGTGGCAGTGAACCAGATGGCAGCAGTAACATTAGAGATGTTCGGAGCAGGGATGGACACCACTACCACCACTCTGACAATGGGGATGTACCTGTTGTCCAAGTATCAGGCCGTTCAGCAGAAACTACAGCAGGAACTGGATGATGTCGTGGGACGGGATAGGCTGCCAAGCTTCCACGATATGGACAGGCAAGATAAATTATGTATATTAGTTTGGATTTATGTCAGAGTGTGGTGGGCAAATATTGAGTTATCATATGGTCTCTCAAGATAAAAAGTAGCTGGAATATGTGTCGAGACAAAGGTAGCTAAAAAGGAGTCAGCTGAAATAGGTATAGGAGCAAAAATTTGCTGAAGTAGGAGATAACGGGTATATTATCTTAGGCAAAAAGTGGTGAGCACCGGACACTACAAGACAGTGGAGGGGTGTGATATTGGTAGCCCTGAGAATGCAGTTTAAGAAGAATGAAAAACATTACTTTCAAATAGTGCAACCTCACAACATGTAAACAATGCTTATTTCCTCATTTCCACAACCATTCTCACATTCTTTTTTCCTGACCTCGTGCTCCAGGCTGCCTTACACCCAAGCCACTATACACGAGATGCAGAGGAAAGCGAACCTAGTAGCAATTATCATCCATGCCTCGCTGGGTGACTTCACGTTCGAAGGCTACCACATCCCCAAAGGTAACGTTGTCCAGATCGATGATAGTTGTTTGAATAGCGTGTCGTTGTATTCATAAGTTTATTGTTTATTGTTTCTGAAAACATACCTAAGATTTGTTATTGGCTCGTGCTCCTGCAGGGTCATTGATCTTGGCGAACATGGAAGACGCAATGTTGAACCCTAAGCTGTGGAAGAACCCGTACGAGTTTGACCCTGAGAATTTCCTCGACGACAAAGGCAACTTCGTCAAGAACGAAGCTTTCATGCCCTTTGGAACAGGTAAGCTTAGATCCTCAGTGTTGGAGAAAGAGAGGGCCTTTGGAACAGGGTAAGCTTAGACCCTCAGTGTTGGAGGAAGAGAGGGCATTTGGAACAGGTAAGCTTAGACCCTCAGTGTTGGAGGAAGGGAGGGCCTTTAAAACCGGTAAGCTTTGGCTCCCCAGTATTGAGGACGAAGGACATGCGGGTTCGATCTCTTTGTATTGCCTTGATACTTCCTCATGAAAGATAAACTTTAGGCAACTGTTAAGAGAATCCGCCAAGCCAACTTGACAGTATAGTACCTGGAATGGATATGACACAGACTGTTTTTGTTTTCAATATAGCCTTAACAAATAAACTAGATTAAATTTCATACTTGAACTTGACTTTTCTGTTTGATGTTAACTGAAGCTTAGACTGGACAACACGACAGGAAATGGGAACTGTCGTGTTCCATGAACAGATTAACATCTGTCCATCTGGGGAATAGGGTGTTGATCTAGAATGTCCGAAACCCACGAATTCTTATGGAGGAACTATCTTGCTTCTTGCAGGAATAGCATTCCATCCCCCATGGCTATATAGTCATGCTGGCTTAGTGCTTTTCCCTTATAATTACCTGATCTTTCAACCACTTTAGCTTAGGACTTGTCAAACAGTATTGTACTACCCGTAGCTTCACAAGAGGCTACTAGTTTTAACTATAAAAAGGGGCCATGTCCCATTTTGGGACAACAGAACAATCGCAAACATTGGGGAACGTCACGTTGAAGCATAGAGGTACGATTAACTGTTTGGACATTGGCCAAAATTAGGGCCTCCAAGATATGAATAAGTAGGATCCTTGTCTCAAATTGAATTGTATTCCCAAGGACTTCAGCCTTTTCAAGTGTTTGCTCGGTCATCGTGTTCATTAGCCTCTCCAGCGTGAATTTTAAAGAGCTTTTGTCTAATCAAAAGCATTTGGAAGTGGGCGACCCATCTAACTTATTGAGATATCTTTAATATTACTTAAACGGCCAAATTTTGCCGTTTTGATTGACAGCGTTAAAATTCCTGTGCACTAAGGAGCTATCCTGTGTCGACTAGTGATGTGAGGCGTGCGTGGAATATACATGCTTCCCTAAACTGTTGTGGCAGGCACTGTCAACTACTGATTACGAGCGAGTTAATCTTTCTCTGACAATACTGATTGATTGAGACTCAATTTTGCCTTAATTAAAAAAAATTATTCAGTATTTTGTCATCATTCATATTTTAGTTTAGTTTTGATTAATACAGTTAAAACATTTATCTCTGTTCAAATAAATAGATTTTATTTAACTTTGTAACTGCCTTTACCTCCCCCACTCCCTCGTCAAGGGCAGTATGCTATATACTGATGTATATTCCCACAGGGAAGAGAGTATGTATAGCAACCCCAACTTCTCTCGCTACACCAGCGTACTGTATAGTAATGTATATTCTCGCAGGGAAGCGAATATGTATAGCGGAGACTCTGGTTCGTAAGGAGCTGTTCTTCCTCATTGCCTGCCTTCTGCATCGCTTCACCTTCACCGTGGACAACGAAGATGCACTTCCCGACAACGAGTACACCTTCAGCGCCGCCGTCAACTTCAGCGCAATCGGCCACCCGAGGTCGCCCTTGTAGCTCCTGACCTCTAGAGTAGCACCTCATTTACACACAACACAATACATATTGTTAAGACTATATTGTTGAGACTATGACTATATAGCACACGAAAGCATACGAGAGCAGGATAGAAGTTTGGGGATAGGAGGATTGGAGTGAAGGAGAAATGCCCAACACCTTTGGTGCCTTCTGTTGATAATTACGTACTTACTTGGACCATCGGGGATCGAACGCCGACCTGCAAGAAACGAGGCTCTCCCTGTACTGACCAGTCCAAGTGGCAACAAGGTCATTTACAGCTTTTCACTGTGGCAAGAAATAATTATAAAATAATGTTTGTGTTTGCATTGCTAATGCTTCTAGATATATCACCAAGGAATTCTATTTCTTGTGAATCTTTTGCCAATAACAGCACAGCGCCTCCTACCTGGCGCTTGAAACATTCTCTTCAACATTTCATTGTTGAAATTTCAAGTACATCAGACATACCAGACGTAAACAATCTAAAATTTAATCCGACTGAACAGTAGAAGATTTGAGTATAGACCCAAGTTGCTTTAGTTGCTAGTAATGATTTAAGTGACATGGTCAGCATAGCATATGAGGCTTATATATCCTTGCTCTACTCCGCAAGGTTATATAATCCTTGCGGAGTAGAGGGTCAAGAACGTCATATATGTAGAGAATGTAAGAACTCTTGTATATATAAATAAAAGCAAATAAAAATAAAAGAATGTATGATGTTTGACAAGAACAGAGCCTTCAGATATTCCAGTCTTGAAGCAAAAACAGTCAGTGTCTTTGCAGGAATATAATTTGCATTGTTCTGTTGCCTACGTTATGACTTATAGAGATGTATATGGATGAAAGAAGACTTATAAAAAAGACTTTAGTAATAAATGGAAGTTCAAAGCTACTACAGAGTTTGAATTTCAATCCTTCGTGCCAAACTATGTCAAATGTTTTTCCCTGCGTCTTTATTAACTTTATTCATAGTCAAGGGAGTTTGCAGTTCTGTTTGGAACTTCCCCTCGACCCTGAGATGTCATGTTCAAAGATGTTGTCAGGTGAAGTTTGTAATTGATTTTGGCGCATCCATGTGCGCCAAAATAAACATACAAATTTCCAACATAAAAGTGGATGTTGAAATGGTGCCTAGGGTGGAGGATGCTTAGTAAGTTTGCTATAGTCTAGGGTTAACTGCGAGTGTCTTGTAAGTTTTCTGTGTTGGTGCTAGCTGTTAGTTTAGGGGGACTGCGGAGAATGAATTGTTAGCCAGACAATGTGTCTGTAGTAATTTGAACGGGGACTCCTGGTTCAACCTTAACGCCGAGCGGACGTCTGGACACCTCCTCCGCCTGGAAGCCATCTGGACACCTCCTCCGCCTGGAAGCCGCCTGTTCACGTCTTGTTTTCGCGTTTTGGCTTTGCTACTGCCGTTTGGCATCCCTTTTTAACGGTCCGATTGCACAACACCTGGCGCACATATCGCCTAGGGTCTCGGGATTGTTGATAGAGTTTTTCTTTTTGACGTGTACTGGCTGGTTCCCCCGCCGGGGTGACGGTGTTCGGGGGCCGGCTTGGCCGATAGGTGCCGGGGGTTGGCGGGTCTTGGTGGGCTCCTGGTGTGCCCTCAGTCGTGGTGGGCGGCTGGCTTCTGCTCTGCCGGAGGACACTGGATGACTTTTGCGTTTTGGTTGGGGGCCGATTTTTGGTTTTGCTTCCTGGTGTTCTCTATGTGGGGCGGGGCCGGTGCTTGTCACCCTGAAGGACTCCTGGGCTCCCCAATCATCTGCCCGTCTGTGCGTTTATTTGCCGTATGGCATATTAGTTTCTAGTGATTGGCGTCACTCGTTTCGCGATTTGCCTTGGCGTTTCACCTTTCCTGGCTTCGCGATTTACCCTTAACGGGTACGCCGGGACGCATTCAATCCCACGATCGTCGTCGCCCCTAAATCAATAACAACAACAACATAATTTGAACGGTAGGATAAGCTATGATTGGTTCTAAAAATGATGGTGGAGGGTTGACGGTTGGAATTCCATATTTAGAAAGAATTTTGGGAATTATTTCAGTTAAGAAATAATTACCTTGTGCTAGATCAGATATATGTGCTAGATCAGATACAGTGCTAGTCAGATATATGACTATTTGGATAAAGGCTGCGACACATCTACAAAACGTATTCTGCCTCCTTCACACCTGGCCGAGTTCTAGCTGGAAGTGGGGCTGATCACCTAATGCAGTCTGACCTGAACTGAGATACACTGAGATGCAACAACGTAGAGGCGGGATCAAAGAGTACACAGCGGGACCGGAGTGTTCTGTGTACTAGGTACTAGGTGAGTACACAGAACACGGTTTGATGATGATACGCTGACTGCCCTGGACGATAGTAGTTTGGTTGCCTGGGTACTGCTAATTACGGAAATCGCTGAACTGGGGCTGCAGAAACCATCTTGGTGCTCGTCTGTGCTGGTGAAAAAGCATTTGACGTGCTGTAAGCTTAATCTTGATTCTGCCCCCCACCCATCTAAAAAAAATAGAAATGTGTGCGCAGGCAGCTTGAGCTGCGTTGCGTTCAAGCAGATTATTGTCAAAGTACAGCTGCGATCGCGACGAGTGTTTGGGCGTGTCAGGTGGCCTCATATCCCATATCTTATATCCACCTGACTCTGGTAGGACCAACACTGCTCGTTGATTGATTGATGGGAACTGCTTAATCCTGGGAAGTGTGCGAATGTCCTTTGTTGTAACTTTAATACCTGCGATTGCTGAAGTAGCTGCTACAGACAGCATTCTGATGTAGTTACTTCACATCCATTCTCTTGTGCTCGAAGATATCCCAAAAATCTTTCCAAAGTTTGCTAGTTTTGTAGTGTCAGGCTACAAAATGATGTGTATGATAAACCATACACAAACTATAAGCTCTGTAACCCTTCACATAGATTAAGGATTCCACACTGATGGTGTACAAGAGTCTAAGGGGAAAATTAAGAAATACTTCCTCTGATGTCCGCACTCCTGAGAATATAACAATGTATAATTAGCTACCACTGTTTTCTTTAAATTATTGCAATATTTAAACTATTTCCACATAGTTGCATAAACTCCTTCCTCTCTCTTGGGATCGCATAGCAAAATTCGCATTGCAGTGTAGTCTGGAAGCTCCAGCTTCCAAACTACACTGCACTGCGAGGTGTATTTACCCTCCTTGACTCGTCCCACCCAAACACTGAACTACAAGGGCTCACCAAAAGCACCAAAGACAGTTATAACAACACATAAGAACCTCTTCGCAGCACTTCTTATAGTATACTCTGGACTGCAGCTTCAATCAGAGCGTGGGAATAATTAGCCAACTTGACCTGTTATCAAGAAAACACTTATATCGTCTGGCTGCAATCACTACAAATGATAATGGCGTTCTCCATCGTCTTTCGACGCTGCTTCCCACTGATCAGTTAAATGACAGAATCTCCGAAGCTAGGCTATGTTATTGGCTGTCAGATCTTTAAACAAATCTTCCCTCAAGACAGAAAAAAACAGCAATAATAGTCTCGTTACAATATGTATAATATTTACTATATACATATATATAATAATCCTGAAATACGAAATCATGTATTAACAGACCAAATGTTCCTAAAACATGACAATATGGACTGAAGTTGTCTTTTCCAAGCCTAGTGTATGATGCCCCTCTGTACACTTCCCATTATACAAGTCATGCAACCTGCACTAGTATATTGCCGGCTCTTGACAGTACAAAATAAAGTACATACAGTTAGGTATTGTATGTACTAGCTCTATCTATAAATCAATCAGAATGTTTGTAACTCTGCATCTATGTATGTACTTTTCCTAAATAAAATATTATTATTATTATTATAAACCATCAAATACGTGACATCTTATGCCAGAGGCTTAGGGCCCGAGCAGGACTATCCTTGCAAAAAAAAATCAACTGGTAGACTCCGGACAGAGCCCTGATGAACACCGGGTAGAGACCCGGGCGGACACAGGGTAGAGCCCTGAGGGACACTGAGTAGAGCCCTGAGGGAACACCGGGTAGAGCCCAGGAGGAACCGGGTAGAACCCTGAGGGACTCCTGATAGAACCCTGAGGGACTCCTGGCAGAGCCCTGAAGGACTCCTGGTAGAGCCCTGAAGGACTCCTGGTAGAGCCCTGAGGGACTCCTGGTAGAGCCCTGAGGGACTTCTGGTTGAGCCCTAAGGGACTCCTGGTAGAGCCCTGTGGGACTCCTGGTAGAACCCTGAGGGACTCCTGATAGAACCCTGAGGGACTCCTGGCAGAGCCCTGAAGGACTCCTGGTAGAGCTCTGGGGGGACTCCTGGTAGAGCCCTGAGGGACTCCTGGTTGAGCCCTAAGGGACTCCTGGTAGAGCCCTGTGGGACTCCTGGTTGAGCCCTAAGGGACTCCTGGTAGAGCCCTGAGGGACTCCTGGTAGAGCCCTGAAGGACCCCTGGTAGAGCCCTGAGGGACTCCTGGTAGAGCCCTGAGGGACTCCTGGTTGAGCCCTAAGGGACTCCTGGTAGAGCCCTGTGGGACTCCTGGTAGAACCCTGAGGGACTCCTGATAGAACCCTGAGGGACTCCTGGCTGAGCCCTGAAGGACTCCTGGTTGAGCCTCGAAGGACTCCTGGTAGAGCCCTGAGGGACTCCTGGTTGAGCCCTGAGGGACTCCTGGTTGAGCCCCGAAGGACTCCTGGTAGAGCCCTGAGGGACTCCTGGTTGAGCCCCGAAGGACTCCTGGTAGAGCCCTGAGGGACTCCTGGTTGAGCCCTGAGGGACTCCTGGTAAGCCCAGAGGATCTCAATACTGGGCTGACCACCAGAGAAACGCCGGATATCTTGGATATGGGTCATCGCTTTCACACGGGCGAGAGGCGGGGCACTGATAGAGAGAGAGAAAGCGATAGGGAAAGAGTGTGTGTATGAAGAGAAAAAAGAAGAGAAAACGAAATAGTAGGAGTGTGTAAGGAAAGATAGATGCATCAGATTAAAAAGAGCCACAAATTAAATAATAACTAAATGGCACAGATTGCAAACAACGAGAGATACACACAGATAAATAAATAATGAGAAGGGAGGAAGAGGCACACATAGATAAACACAAGAGAGAGAGAGTGTCTGTGTGTGGGGGGAGGTGGGGGGGCAGGAACGTCATCAGTGGGGTGCGGGGGCTGGACTGGCAGAGTTGTTGGGTAGGGTTGGGGTCTGGAGGGTGGTGTATCACCCCTGGGATGAGTGTGGGAAGTGCTGGTCTCTACACAGCTCATAGTCTGTGCTGCGCTGACCTGTAGGAGGTGAGTGTGTTCGGGAAGGGAAGATTTTCTCCTCCTCTGGACAGAGAGTGATGCTGAATCCGTTAATACCGGGATGTGTTGTGTGCTGTGGTATATAGTGAACGATTGAACTCGTCTGGAATAGTTAGAGAAAACAATGCATAGTGAACCCAGGAAATTTGGTCACCGCGTCAGCTAATTTGCATGTATTAAGCAGGAACTAAAATAGTGTTATTGTGCTATTTGTAGGCGCTTATTCAACCTGACTACAGAAACAAGGCTTCAGTTATTTATACTGTAAGGAGCTCCTGGATACATTGTCACCAGCTATATTAATTATTATCCGTACATTATCTCAGAAAAATATCTTTAAGATATATATCATAGTTTAGTATGGTGACTGCTTACAATATGTGCAATATAAGGATGTTGATTCTACAGATGGGCGGTGTGGGTGGCAGATGGCTGGTGATCCTGGCGGGGTTATGGGCGCTGGTGGAAGGTCGAGACGCCCGGAACACAGGCATTACTTCCCTCAACGCCCAGCAGCCTGTTACTCCTCAGCCATAGTAAGTTTATGTTACTTTATAGACTTAGAAAGTTCATGATACTCTGCACACTTAGTGCACCAGCATTTACCTCACCTTAGATAAGCACCTCCAAAGGATACCTGATCAACCAACCGTCAGTGTGCGAGCCGCTGCGTCCAACAACCTGGTTGACCAGTCTAGCAACGAGGAGGCCTAGTCGAAGACCAGGCCGCGGGTCACACTCTCATCAAATCACACTCTCCAGGCCACAGCGCCTGTGAGATGCTAGCTAACAAACATATCCTTATATTTGTGGTGGGGAGGGGAGTGGCGTTGTCACCCAAGATAATATGAATACATTTAAGTATGGCTCACTCAAAGTACAATGCCGGCGGAAGGAGAGTTTCCGTGTTGCATGAATGACCTGAGTAGGAGGTCAGAGATGAGATAATACAAGGACGAATGCATATGTTGAATCCTCAAAGTTTCATCGGAGACGAAGTGCCCGATGAGGTCATTTCTGGAAGTATATTATAACAAGCTGAAGTACAATAGACAGTTTGTCGTGAGGGTTGTCAGAGAGGGTGTCACGCAGGTTGTCAGAGAAGACAATGTTGGCTGCACGACCATCAGGTAGTCTGTTCTGGCCTCGACGAGGAGAGTCGAAAAGGGAGGTGGACAAGCGAGTCACAAGTACGACCCACCAGGGCAACCAATATTGGGCCGGTAACCTAAGAGAGAGAGTTCAGGGACACTGACACAACACCGGATGGTGTTGAACGCTAAATGTAAATATTATCTAAAATAATACATGATCTGGAATAAGTGGTTTGCTTCAGTCTACCATTGTGTGTGTTTCCCTGCCAATACGGTGGTTTTGAACAGAGACTGGTGCATAACTATTGCAGATATAATAATAATTCATTGTGTCGGGGGACAGGAAGCCAGAGTGTATTCATACACGTTTTGACTTTTATCTTTTGTGTGTGTGTGTGTGTGTGTGTGTGTGTGTGTGTGTGTGTGTGTGTGTGTGTGTGTGTGCTCACCTAGTGGTGTGTGCGGGGGTTGAGCTCTGGCTCTTTGGTCCCGCCTCTCAACCGTCAATTAACTGATGTACAGATTCCTGAGCCTACTGGGCTCTATCATAGAGCCCAGTAGGGGCTAGAGCACACACATCTACTGTGTGTGTGTGCGCGTGTGTGTGTGAACGAGCGCTGCCGGGCAGTGCGGCGAGTTTGACACGATTGAAAAGTTAGCTTTCTCTTGGAACATGCATATCGCCATGACTGGAGATGGGTGAGGATGAGAGAGAGAGAGAGAGAGAGAGAGAGAGAGAGAGAGAGAGAGAGAGAGAGAGAGAGAGAGAGAGAGAGAGAGAGAGAGAGAGAGAGAGAGAGAGAGAGAGAGAGAGAGAGAGGTAGAGAGAGAGAGAGAGAAGAGAGAGAGAGAGAGAGAGAGAGAGAGAGAGAGAGAGAGAGAGAGAGAGAGAGAGAGAGAGAGAGAGAGAGAGAGAGAGAGAGAGAGAGAGAGAGAGAGAGAGAGAGAGAGAGAGAGAGAGAGAGAGAAAGAGATAAAGAGAGAGAGAGAGAGAGAGAGAGAGAGAGAGAGAGAGAGAGAGAGAGAGAGAGAGAGAGAGAGAGAGAGAGAGAGAGAGAGGAGAGAGAGAGGAGAGAGAGAGAGAGAGAGTGTGAGTGAGTATTCACCTGAATATCTTTTCCCACAGTTGCTCTGGAGGCTTCAGCGCACGTAAGGCTGCCCCACCTATTGAAGGAGAAGAGGTACCTCGTCTACTACGCTTTCAGGTATGTGGGTTGACTGTCCATTTTTTGTAGAGAGGGCCTGAAGGGGTGGCTTCACCTTACTATAGTCACCCGGGTGTGAACTGTGGATGGTTCGGGGTTTGGATACTTTGTAGTGGTTTGGTGGGTCGTTGGAAGTGTGATGACTCTCCCCAACTTCCATGTTAGCTGTGCTAGATGTGGAACTTGGCCATTTTTCTTCCTTCCTCGCACCCCTCATTCCTCTGTTTACCCCTTGGACCTTCTCATTCCCATCCCCTTTGGAACTCTTCTTCGTCCTTCCCATCGCCCTCCCCTTCTTTCTCCCCTCCCCCCTTCTCCACTCCCTTTTCCCCCCCTCTGTCAGAAAATGTATTGTTAAAAAAACACTGGAACCTCTGTAAGGGTATCTCAGAAGATATATCATTACGAACACAACAACTCTAAGGAAATCACACCAAATATTTCAATCTTGAATCCACGAAAATTGCATGAGGCTGTTTATAAATGCTAATATTTCTTAAAACATTTAACTTTGACCTGCCCCGACCAGCCTATGTCCGTTCTCAGCCCCAGACTATTCCCTCCTGCAAATTTTGGCGGAGCAAGCTTCCCGAGTCTGGCACTGGAACAACATGAGACTCCTTGGTCTTATCTTGGCAGTTGCAATATTCAGCAACAGTTTACAAAAGGCTCATCGTTGTTATGTATCGTAGCAATTACTGTGGTTTCTGTGTAGTGTTTCTCATCTTAGTAGCAATAGGTTTAGACTGTTAGTGGTATTGATTTTGTAATTAAATAAGATTCTGTATTCTAAAGTATGACATAAAAGAGTGCTAGAAAGAAGAGATAAAATTAAAATTAGAAGGAGGAAGGTAATATTTTTGTTTAAATTAAAATAAAGTCCTTGCTTAAGCTATTCCTAAGTCCTTATTGTGAACACATACCCAATCTCTCTCTTTCTCTCTCTTATTCTTACTCTCCCTACCCCACTTCCTTCACCTGGCTCCTCCTCCCTCTCTCACTCGTCCCTTATACCTGCTCCTCCCTCTCTCTCTCTCTCTCTCTCTCTCTCTCTCTCTCTCTCTCTCTCTCTCTCTCTCTCTCTCTCTCTCTCTCTCTCTCTCTCTCTCTCTCTCTCTCTCTCTCTCTCTCTCTCTCTCTCTCTCTCTCTCTCTCTCTCTCTCTCTCTCTCTCTCTCTCTCTCTCTCTCTCTCTCTCTCTCTCTCTCTCTCTCTCTCTCTCTCTCTCTCTCTCTCTCTCTCTCTCTCTATCTCTCTCTCTCTCCCTCTCTCTCTCTCTCCTCCTGCCTCTCTCCTACTCATTCACTGGCGTCTCTCCCTCCCACAGGAGGTGCTGACCAATCTTGGAGGCTGGTCAGTCCAGGACAACGTCTTCCAGGCTCCGTGCACAGGCGCCTACTTCTTCACCTTCCACGCCATATCTGATGACGACAAGGACTTCACGTGAGTGCAGTTGTGATGTCCAGACACGTCCGGTGACTTCGTACATTCATGAAGTCACAGGACGTGGAGGACTGAATCTTCATGATTTCTACTAAAGTCTAAGCTACTAAAGTAATACGAGCTGGGATGTATTTCTATACCCCATTTCGAATTAGTACTCTAAATTATATTTCAGCGGTCAGCGTTCAAATTCCCGTTGGTACAAGTGAGTGGAATATTAAAAAAATTATGTATGTGAATGAAATGCTGTTATCCACTCTGGGAATTTGAAATATAGTGAATTCTCGAAAATGTAAAATGTTTCGCCAATGGAACATTGTGGTCCAGTTCCTTAACAAATTATGTATACAACTTTATAACTGTAATCTTTCCCGACTTCCTACATGACTTGGGTTATCATGAGACCACGATAACCCAAACTAAAGCTGCTGAACTATTCCTGATTCTATTGACCTAGGCAAATGTGCCCTTCACCCTGCCCTCTCTACCCCTAGGGTGGCGCTGATGAAGGAGGGGGTGTACCAGGCGACGGCCTATGGGACCAAGCACGGCTATCAACAGGGCTCCAACTCGGCCCTGCTCTTCTTGAACATGGGCGAGAGGGTGTACCTGGAGGTGCAGCAGGGCTCCATCTACGAGCACCCTTTCAACGAGGTCTACACTACCTTCACAGGCTTCATGGTCGAGCACTTCTAGGGAGTGACTGGTGTAACCAAAAGGGCGCCATTTTGGACGAAGCAGGGTAGGTTACAGGAAAGACGTGAAGGAATAGAGGATATGCACGGAGGAACAAGGAGGAAAGGATACAAAAGAAATAGTAGAAAAGAGAAGCGAATGAGGAAATGGTCCACTCAGGGGTTTATAAGTCGTGAGGAATGGGGGACGAGAAAGGCACACAGAGGGAAGGGAAGAGAAAAGAAGGGAAAGAGGGAAGGGAAAGAGAAAAGGGATAGAGGGAGGGGGAGGGGTGTTGCCAGAGGCTCGATCGCGGGATCATAGAAGTGGCTGAAAAAGGTGAGAAAAAGCAACAACAACAAGATTATTCACCTTTCAAGCCACCGTCATCATCATCAACATTGTTCACTTATCAGTTTATTTATTTATTTAATAAATCATCTATTTATAGAAGATGTCATCGTTTCGTTTTGGTTTGCTAGATGACACCTGTTTATGCCAGCAGTAGTCATCTGTTTATGACAACAATCATCTGTTTATGACAACAGTTAGTAAAGTTTGTATTGTATGGGCGGAGGAGAGGTCAAAGGTCAGAAGAGCGTACTTATTCATTTCTGTGTTTATTTGACCTGACAAAGATGCCTAGGTACGACATATATATATATATATATATATATATATATATATATATATATATATATATATATATATATATATATATATATATATATATATATATATATATATATATATATATATATATATATATATCAAGGCCCACTTGAAGAGACAGTATTAATATAAAAAACAGACCATGAAATCAAAATAATTAGAAAGTGACGAGTATTTTTCTTTTTTGTCCTTCATTTAAGACCCTTCAATACATATACAGTACATATTTAGTACATATATCATGATATGTCACAGGCGTAAACATTATTTATAAATATTTTTTCGCGTCAGACTAAATTCTAATGAATCTTCTTAACTTGAGTTTAATGAGAACTATTAAATGGATTTTCTTGAATATATGTTTTTAATTTTAATAATTGCATTTTTTAGTTGAATATTTTTTGCAATGTAAGTTGCCTCGTCGGTTTTTAGACTGCTGACAGTAGAGTGATTAAGGTTGCAACGTCGTTGGTATCATTAACAGCCACTTAAGAGGAACAAAAGTACGAATAAGCGAAAACTATCTGACACATATAGTAACAAACACTGCTTAACTTACCTCTGGCGTCCCTAGTAAGCGGAAGACACGTATGAATTACATTTAGGATAAAATACAATATTTTTATATATAATTTTAATTTCAAACCTAAAAGTCCAATTCATGTTTAAACGTTTGATTTAAGGAGTATTGTGTTTACATTTTTGATATATGAGTGTATTTATAATAATAATAATAATAATAATAATAATAATTTACTCTATTAATCTTCTGTATCAGTTTTAACACACTGTCAGGACTTGAAATTATTTTAAGAATTATATTATTTAATATATTGGAAATGATTAGAAGATTATAGTTGACTGTTGTAGTCAGAATGTAGTCAACACAGTAGTCATCTCATTAGTCATCATAGTAGTCAACTTGGTAGTTATCACAGTTGTCAACTCAGTAGTCAACACAGTAGTCATTACAGTAGTCAACACATTTCTCAACACCGCAGTCGTCAAAGTAGTCAACACAGTACTCAACACAGAATCACCCCAAAACTCAACACAGTAGCCAACTCAGTTGTCAACACGGTAATCAACACTTTAATCACTACAGTAGCCAACACCATAGCCAACACAGTAGTCAACACAATAATCAACACAGTAGCCATCTCAGTAGTCAACACAGTAGCCAACACATGGCAAGGACAGGACGAGGAAATGGGCCTGGAAGCACAGAGTGTAGGAACAGTGTCCATCCAATTGAACCCTCGGGGATCGAACACCGACCTTGCAAGAAGCGAGGGCGTAGCTCTTCCGACAGTTCCAAGTAGAAGACACTAGGTAGACTGTGGAGGAAGCTCACATATTCGCCTGACAGCTCACTGTGGTTGTTACCTGCTTGATACCTGCTTGATGGGGTTCTGGGAGTTCTTCTACTCCCCAAGCCCGGCTCGAGGCCAGGCTTGACTTGTGAGAGTTTGGTCCACTAGGCTGTGAGTCCATTTTGCCGCCCTGGTCTGTCCTGGAAGCCAGCATTAAAACTGTATTGTCGAAAGGAAAATAAGTCATCAATGTTTCCTGTGTTGAACTCTCCGGTATTCTCACTGTGAAAACCATTTTATAATCAAAGCGTTTATCTCTCTCACGTGGTGTTTCTGTAAATAAACCTAAATTCTAAATTCTAATAGGACGAATCCAACTTCGTTCTATTAGGACAAAATACAGTATCAATAAAAAAGCAATAGACCTACTTTATGTTTATGAAAGTAAGTAAATTTATTTGACAGCAGTGAAGTCATTTCAGTTTTGAACTTGCTACCCAAAAACTTTTCTCACTGCAGGAAATATTTATAAACAAAAAGCTTCACTGCAACTAAAATATTCAGTAAACTCTTCACAAAAGTGCTACAATGTAACGCAAATTTTAATCGACATTTTCTAAAGTATCACTGAATCGACACAATTTCTGTGGGTTATAAATCCTTTTTTCGTTTTGTTTCTCAAACGGAGCTCTCCTTCTGTCCTGTGATGAGGGGGGAGCATGTGTCCAGCTCTCGAGGGTGGCCTTCACACCTTAGAGTAGGGCCCTCGCCTGCTGTAGAGTAGGGCATCAACAAGGAGTGTCTTTGCCCCTTCACTGCTGAAGAGGACATCAACGTGTGGAGCTCGCGCTCTTTTGCTGCTGAAGGAAACATCAGTGAGTCGTGTTCTTGCTCTTTCGTTGCAGAGGACAGCAATGCATCACGCTCTAAGGCTCTTGCAGCTGAAGAGGATGTCAATAGTAAGTGATCTTGCCCTTTTGCTGCTGAAAATTTGGTCAACGTGGCTTGTTCTTGCCGTTTTGATTTTGAAGAGAGCATGTAGGGGGAACATTCTTGCCCGCCCGCTTCTGCAGGAGACCTGAAGGGGACGGCTTGTCGGTATAGTTCCTGTGGACGTCTAGCAGGTGCACCCACAACCTCTGTGCTGGAGCCAACAGGTGTCTTAGAGGAGACTAGGTCGCGGGCGTGGTGGCTGTGAGTAGCTCTGTGGCTTACAGGTGCAGCGGCGTGGCTTACAAGTGCAGCGGAGTGGCTTACAGGTGCAGTGGAATGGCTTACAGGTGCAACGGAGTGGTACTGTTGACTGAGGTTGTTCAGCTTGTACGACGATGCAACTACGCCCTTCTGCAACAACGCGCCACCACCCCCACTACCAGCTGGCTGGAAAACAAAAGAATGTGAGACACAATGTAATAAACGTGAAGGCAACGAGCATGAAGCTCTGGACTCTCGTTGACAGCATATCAAGGAAAAATATATTTTTTGAATAAGACATTACTCTGAAAAAGACTTATATTTCCAGATAAGAATTTAACACATTATACATATTTTATTACTGATGTTATGTCGATGAATTTAAATGAAATCAAATGTGGACAAATTTAATTTATCCACACCTCGCTCTACCCTTCTTAGTGTACCTCCCTACACCCCCTCCCTGCATACCTTGGTTTTACCTGTGCATACTCTCCTGTGTCGACCCAGACATCCTCGTCGCCGCCTCCTTCTTTAGGTCATTCCTTCCCTTCCTCCCTCCCTTCATGTCTTCCTCCCTCTCTCCATCTTTGCTTTCCTCCTCACTGGCTACCCCTCTGTTTTTCATCTCCCTTTCTCTATCCCCTCTTCTTTCTTCCTCCTCTCTTCTCCCTGCCTCTTCCCATCCTCCCCTCTTCCTTATCTCCTCCCTATCTTCCCCTTTCTGTCTGCCTCCAATCTTCCCCTTCTATCCTGTCTTCTCGTCTACTTTCTCTCCTGGCTCTCTCTCTCTCTCCCTTCTCCCTGTCTGCCTTCTCCTCTAGCATCTCACCTGCCTTCTCCCCTGCTTTCTTCCCTGTTTTTCTCCCATTCTTGTGTCCTCTCTTTGCTCTGGATTGTGCGGGAGGAAGCCTCCGCTGCCACATATCACCCCAACAGCTTCTGTAATCCCAGGCAGCGACTCTAATTTGTGATTCATCCGTGAGATAGAGGTCACCAGAGCGAGATAGGTGTTCCTGTGCTCTGTGAATGGCAGTCTGATGGCTCCCATTTCATGCCCAACCATCGCCAGCTTCCACGTCCGATTCCGTGAGAACCAGCATCCCGGAACCTCAGCAATGATCATTAATCTCTCGTATCTTCCTTGTTCTCACTAAATAAATTCTGTTAAATGCAAGATTATTTTGAAGTCTAGATGGGAGAAAGAGAAAGAGAGGGATTTGGTAAATTGAACCTGATTCGGGAGCTGTTTCTGAGATAATGAGGCCTGACTTTACGTATTGGGACGATTTAGAGGCCCGCTAGCGGGCAAGTTTCCGTCCCTTGTCTCCGTGGCCGACGATTCGGTAAATAGGTAAGAGGGATTTATGGATTTTGGGGCTTCGTCAGAGATAGTTGACATGAGAATTTTACACGCCGCGATTGTTCGGGGTTCGCTGTGGCAGCCGTAGGGGGGGGGGGCTATAGGCTGGAGCCGGTCTAATTGTTTGGCCTCTCTCTCAATGGATATATTTTATGGGGTGTTCTCTGTTTGAATTATTTTGACTTTCTCTTTTTTTTCTCTCTCTCTATCCTTCCTCATTACTCTTATCAATCTTTTCGTTATCATATATTTCTGTACCTAATACATTCTCACTTCTCGTTTGCTCATTTCCGCCTACTTTTCGTCACTTCTTCTTCATGCCCTCTCTCCCTCTCTCCCTTCCTCTCTCCCTCCCTCTCTCCCTCCCTCTCTCCCTCCCTCTCTCCATCCTTCCCTCCCTCTCACCTGGTAGCTGTGGAGAGCTTGGTAGGCATCAAGAAGCGAGGCAGCGGAGGTAATGGTCTTAACTCTCCTCTCGTGCCAAGCCTGCGTCTCTGTCAACCAAAAGGAAGATAATTTTACCAGACAGATCGTGGTAGCCGGTCACCTCCGGCCTGCGTCATCTTGGAGGCTGTCAATGGGCTGCTCACTGGCCATGCTACAGATGACAGTGGGCTGCTCACTGTCTTTTTAATCGGTTAACAATATGTAAACAATGTTACGTTGGAAGGCTGACAGTGTCATTACCATATTGGTGGCTGACAGCGCCATGTGAGGTGAAAGCTCCATAATGTTTCCTCGTTTTTTATACAAAGAGCTTGTCAAACTATTGACCTTTGCCAGGATTCAACCCACAACAGTTCCCTACTTCCTGGATACATAGTTGAGCAGAGGCATCAGATGTATGGAAAAGTTGCCCAAACACCTCCGTCCAACGGGGGAGTTATTTCAATTTACGTAGTCCTTTGATTGACCTCTGATAATGAACACTAAACTTGGTTAGTCACGAGCGAGGTAAAATTTGAGAGACAGACAGACAGACAGACAGACAGACAGACAGACAGACAGACAGACAGACAGACAGACAGACAGACAGACAGACAGACAGACAGACAGACAGACAGACAGACAGACAGACTTGACAGACTTGACAGACAACAGACAGATTGACAATGGTCCAGGACGGTCCGAAACGTCGTCGTCCCTTCACTTTCTAGTGTGTGGTCTGGTAAACAGACAGACAGACAGAGCGAGACTGACAGACAGACAGAGCAAGACAGACAGAGAGATACAGCGAGACAGACAGAAAGACAAGAGAGACAGACATACTGGCAGACAGATACAGACATATAGATACAAGAAAGATCAATATAACCTAGAACTGCATTCGTTGATGATAAAGGAGCAAGAGGAGAAGGTTAGGTGGAAGAGTAGGGGGGGGGGGGAGGGGAGGGAAGGGAAGGGGAGAAGAGACAAGGAAAAGGGGGGAAAATAAAGGGGGGTGAAAACCAGGAGGAGGCAGAGGGAAGGGGAGGAACAGACCACCACTACAAATACCTTTACCGGAATTCCTGTATAAAAAATATAGTATTGTTTTAACCTTTTCCAGTGTTTGCTCTGGCTCTTGTTAGAGAACCTTCCCTTTACCCACGGGGGAATATTCCTTTACCCTTAGGGGACTATTCCTTTACTCTTGGGGGGAATATTTCTTTACTCTTGGGGGGAAAATTCCTTTACTCTTGGGGGGAATATTCCTTTACTCTTAGGGGAATATTCCTTTACTCTTGGGGGATATTCCTTTACTCTTAGGGGAATATTCCTTTACTCTTGGGGGATATTCCTTTACTCTTGGGGGAAAAATTCCTTTACTCTTGGGGGAAAAATTCCTTTACTCTTGGGGGAATATTCCTTTACTCTTGGGGGGAAAATTCCTTTACTCTTGGGGGGAATATTCCTTTACCCTCGGGGGAATATTCCTTTACTCTCTGGGGAATATTCCTCTACTCTAAGGTGAAATATCTTTACACTTAAGGAAATATCCCTTTACTCTCAGTCCGTCACTGAAAGACTATTACTATATACAGAAAGATCACATTATCGTGAGATATCAAAAAGGAAATCTACAATAGTCGTGATGAGGGTTCGAACCTATGCGCTGGGTATTCCCAGATGCACGCTCTAAACGACTACACCATGACATGGTCAAAAGAATTGCAACCTGGGGGTACTAATGCACTCCCGAGGCTTCCACTGAAGCCGAACCTGAGTTTCACACAATCCCCCCCCCCCATTTACGTCATAACTCACCTGACTGAGGAATAACATCGGGATTCTCATCGTGGATTCTGCAGGAATCTGGGGCAGGGTTGGGGTCCTTGAACGCAGCCTCGTTGATCTTAGAGAGGCCGTCCACCGGTGGCTCACCCACCACGCCCGCACGCCCGCGAAGTCTGACGACGACGCAGAGGAAGACGACGAGGAGCAGAGCGCCCCACGACACGCTCACCAACACGGCCGTCGTCGTGGTGGGGAAGAGCTGGACGTCGTCTGGAACACTTGGCTCCGGCAGGGGCTTTACCGCCGCTGGCGGGGGCAAGTGAGGGACTCGTGAGGCAGTGTGAGGGAGGTGGGTCATGAGGGAGGAAGTGTGAGAGGGGTCATGAGGGAGGAAGCACGAGTTATGAGGATGAAAGAGTGAGTCAGAGAGCACCTGAGAGTAATCCAACAAGTTAAAGCTAATTTAATCTACTGAAACATTCATTAAAATAATTAACACTCGCAGCAATATTAAACCGTGTGTCATGTATAGTTTCTTGTTTTATGTAGAAAACTACTACACTGTCACATTTTTCATCACGTGATAATTTTCGTGATTTACACACACACTATATATATATATATATATATATATATATATATATATATATATATATATATATATATATATATATATATATATATATATATATATATAGCTGGGAAGAGGGACAGATAGAGAAATAGATGGGGAGATTGGCAGGATGCAGCACAATAGGAAGCAACACAAAGGCTGTAGGTGCCTCACCTGTGCGTCTCTCGGGGATGTGAACGAGAGTGTGGGCCGAGAGTGCCACCTCCTCTCCTCGGCCCTTGTTGTTATAGGCGTACACCACGCCCTCCAGGGCCAGCCCCGCCTCCAGGCCCTCTACGGTGAACACCGGCACCTGCGACACCACCACAATAATAGTCAACCACAGTGCCACCATACTACTACTCAACTACAGGCCACCATATTGCTTGTCAACTGAGTTGTAAAACTGAATTCACTGAATTGAATTGAACAATTGAATGTTCCATTGTAACTTATTGCGTGCATTTACGGAGTTCGAATGTTTAAATCCTAAAGAAGGTTTTATACTATAGATGATATGATTTCTTTAGGTTGTTTAAGTCAAAGGAATTTTGGAACAAATATCCTGGGCAGGAGACGGCCTCAGCCGGCGTCGTCTCTACGAGAAAAAGGCTTTGACTAAACTTACCTTGTTGGTGATGTTGGCCAAAAGACGGCCTTGGCCGGCCTCGTACAGTTCCATGAAAAAGCTCTGGGGAAGACCACCGTCAAATCCGGCTACACATCCAACGTCGACGGTCGTCTTGGACACATTGTGTACCGTGCAGTTGTGGACGGGGTCAGGGTGATCTGTTCCGGCAGAAACACACACTCAGGGTCAGTAGTAATCCGAAGCCGCGATCATGTCTTATGTTCACGAAAGAGCGTAGACACCAGACGCGTATTGACATCACGCAGGAGGCAACGCTAGAGGTACCTACCGGCAGGGAAGGTGTGGAAGACGCAGGGGTGACGTTGAAGACCGACGGAGTTAAGTCCCCAGCAGAGCAAAGTGCCGTAGTCGAGCTCTGTGTTTGGGGTGTACACCACGGTTGATCGCCACCCTCTGGAGATGATGTGCTCCTGTCGGCCGATGACATAAGGTGACGACTCGTGTTCTTCATTCGTTCATGCACGGAGATATATTATAACAATTTGGTCATGAACATTACTAAACTCGGCTTCTTTCCTGATCCCGTCTCCCGGCATAATCATTTAAGGCTTGTGAGTGAGTGTGAAGTACTTAACAAATCTTGATCATCAGATATCTAACATTTCTTATACGTCCTTTAATTAATTTCAGCGTGATGGTTATTTGGCAGAAAGGCTTGACTTAATTAGCTTTTGACAAGCGTGTATTTAGCATCCAACTGCGTAAGTTAAATCCTCAGTAGTGCGTAAATCCACCCATTGGGAAAGGAAAGGTGAGTACTAACGGTGAGAAATGTAATAAAGGACTCACCTGAAGGAAAGAGAGGTGGGACGACATCCCTGAAGACAAAGGTGAGACGACTTCCCCAGAAGAAGAATATAAAAACTACTTCTGAAGTTAAAAAACTACTTCTAACCTGAAGTTGCAGTTGCCGTACCTGAGGCACATCAGCGCTCTCGCCGCTGTTGTTGAAGGTCCAGCGGAAGTCTAGAGGCGCTGGAAAGGCGTCCAGGTCACAGGTCACACTAACCTGTTCGTACCTGGCGGCCCCCAGGTAGACCATCTGCCTCTGGCGACACACAGGCGAGTCTGCCGGATAGATCAGGGTCAGGACACCGCTCTTACTCGGATACCTGCACACGTTATTTAAAATGACGGGTGAGAGGGTCTAGAATGACAGCTGAGAGGGTCTAGAATGACACGTGAGAGGGTCTAGCATGACAGAGTCTAGAATGACGGCTGAGAGAGTCTAGAATGACGGGTGACAGGGATCTAGAATGACGGGTGACAGGGATCTAGAATGACGGGTGACAGGGATCTAGAATGACGGCTGAGAAGGTCTAAACTGACGGGTGAGTGGGACTAGAATGACGGGTGAGAAGGTCTAAAATGACGGGTGAGAAGGTCTAAAATGACGGGTGAGAAGGTCTAAAATGACGAGTGAGAGGGTTTAAAATGAGAGGTGAAAGGGTCGAGAATGATATATGAAGAGGTCTAGAAATGAATAGATGAATAGATAATGTCTATCATGATTCCTGATAAAACACTGACAGAGGGAAAAAAACGAGAGCAGAGTCTCGCTAACAGAAATCGATGGAAACAGCTCCCCCAATAACTAATAAACAACACATTAATTAAATTTAGACGTGTAGTCTCTCATAACTAAATCTATCGCACAAAAACATAATAAATAATCGTGAAAATATTTATCCGAAAGAGAGAAATATTTGGAATCTTTTTTGTTTTCCTTTTATCAAATCTTGCTCTCGATCTAACACACACAAATCCAGACATTCTTTAAATAGGACTCAAGTTCAAACCCTGCGACAAAGTGACGTGGAAAGACCAATACTCGAGGTGTTCAATGAGAAAACTTTGTCCAGCTGCGAGTGAACATTTGGGGCGTGTCACGGGGCGTTCAGTGGTTGGTTCAGGAGCTTGTGATGAAAGGCACGAGGGAGTTTAAACTCCAGTAGGACGGGAGAGAGGACTGAAGGGTGATGGGACAGAAGGGAGAGGATGGAAGGGAGAGTGGATAGAACGGAGAGGATGGAAGGGAGAGTGGATAGAATGGAGAGGACAGAAGGAAGAGAGGATAGACGAGAAAGGATAGAAGAGTGAGAGGATAGAAGGGAGAGAGGACAGAAGGGTGATGAGACAAAAGGGAGAGAGGACAGAAGGGAGAGAGGATAGAGGGGAGAGAGGATAGAAGAGAGATAGGACAGAAGGGAGAGAGGATAGAAGAGAGATAGGACAGAAGGTAGAGAGGACAGGAGGGGGAGACCAAGGGTGGAGCTATATTAAACGTAGACATATTAAAATACCCGTTTAAATATGCAAGAGGATAGGTTGGGGAGTGTCACTGTGAGTGTAGAGAGAGAGAGCGTGTACTCACCTAGTTGTACTCACCTAGTTGTGTTTGCGGGGGTTGAGCTCTGGCTCTTTGGTCCCGCCTCTCAACCGTCAATCAACAGGTGTACAGATTCCTGAGCCTATCGGGCTCTGTCATATCTACACTTGAAACTGTGTATGGAGTGAGCCTCCACCACATCACCCCCTAATGCATTCCATTTGTCAACCACTCTGACACTAAAAAAGTTCTTTCTAATATCTCTGTGGCTCATTTGGGCACTCAGTTTCCACCTGTGTCCCCTTGTGCGTGTTCCCCTTGTGTTAAATAGACTGTCTTTGTCTACCCTATCAATCCCCTTCAGAATCTTGAATGTGGTGATCATGTCCCCCCTAACTCTTCTGTCTTCCAGCGAAGTGAGGTTTAATTCCCGTAGTCTCTCCTCGTAGCTCATACCTCTCAGCTCGGGTACTACACACACACACACGTGTGTGTGTGTGTCAGTGTATACACACTTACAGCCTGCACCACACACACACACACTCTTGACCCCCAGTGCATGAGACACACTTGAACTCTCTCCTCCACCTAAGAAACACATTTGACCCGAGCTACAAGAGATACACTTGACCCTAAGCTTGCAAGACACACACACATAACCTCCACTAAAAATTACACCCGTGACTTCCACTTGCTAGAGGCAAAGGACTGAGATGCGAGACTTGTGCCAGAGATGAGAGAGCGGAGGTAAAGGGTTACCTTGAGGTTACCTTGAGGTTACCTTGAGGTGCTTCCGGGGCTTAGCGTCCCCGCGGCCCGGTCGTCGACCAGGTCTCCTGGTTGCCGACCTGGTGATGCTAGTGGGGATACCATCACATCCAAGAGTAGTAGTAGGGAGTAGGTGAAGAATAGTAGATGTAGAACATCCAGGGAGTAGATGTTGTGGCTCGCGACAGGCGTTTGTCTCTTGTCTTCAGATGAGAAAAAACAGAACGACATTTTTTAAAGGGAAATTTCAAAGAGAAATGTCAAATTTCAAAGGAAATTTTCAAGGGAAATTTCAAATTTCAAAGAGAAATGTCAAATTTCAAAGGAAAAAATCAAGGGAAATTTTAAATTTCAGAGGAAAATTTCAAATTTCAAAATAAAATTTGAAATACACAGCGGCCAGAGAGACCTAAGACAACATTCGTAACCATTGGGGATGATAAACAAGAAGCATGAAGAAGAGACAAAGGAAGCCATCTCCATCCACAGCTTCAAGAACAAATGCACCAAAGAGGTTAAAGGTTAAAGTAGGCGCTAATAGGGAAGCACTATTAGTAAAGCACGCCATTCTCCTCAGTAGTTCACATCAGTCTGAGACGCGGCTCCTACGGAAGAAAGGTTGCAGTAACAAAGAGAAGATATGATCACGACCTCCAAAATAGTTTGGGACGGTGGTAGGATAAGAGCCCAGAGAAAATCAAAAAGTCGGAACAACAATATATATTAACTGAATTTCCCTGAGATTAAACGTCAGGACCAGAAACTCGTCTGGACTCCTCCCCAGTGGGCGCCTGGGATATAATGACCCCTCGCCAGTGGACGCCTGGGATATAATGACCCCTCGCCAGTGAACGCCTGGGATATAATGACCCCTCGCCAGTGAACGCCTGGGATATAATGATCCCTCGCCAGTGGGCGCCTGGGATATAATGACCCCTCCCCAGTGGGCGCCTGGGATATAATGAACCTCGCCAGTGGGCGCCTGGGATATGTATTGCATAATATATTTAAATTTTATTCTGCATTTTTAAATAAAGTTTATACGTGTGTATTGACTCTTGTTCTGTAATGCACACGCCTCTCTTACTTATATTCTCTCTCACTCATTTTCTCTTTCTCTCTCTCTCTCTCTCTCTCTCTCTCTCTCTCTCTCTCTCTCTCTCTCTCTCTCTCTCTCTCTCTCTCTCTCTCTCTCTCTCTCTCTCTCTCTCTCTCTCTCTCTCTCTCTCTCTCTCTCTCTCTCTCTCTCTCTCTCTCTCTCTGTCCCAAATCTTGCAGAAGGACATCTTTAAGACAGGTTTTCACCAAGGATCCAACACCTCTTCAACATAATCCAACATCTTATACTTTTATAGACGCGTGTCTTTGTGTTCATAATCCTGCCCTGTCACAGGCAGCTCTTGTGTTTATTATTAGTTAGTTATTATATATTTTGTAACGCTTATTAATGTTCTTGTAACTTCTGTCCAAGCTCTGTGAATCCTCTATCAACGCTTCTAAGGCAATTTTAGCTAATTGC